TTTTCCAACCTGAAGCTAGGTCATGTTTTATACTGTCTGTGGTTGTGATGATTTTCTACAAGGGGACCAAATACACATGCTTTCTGCAAGCAGCTTGATGTCTATTAAATTGTAAGAATAGCTTCTGTCATTGATTAAAGCTTTAGAGTTAGGTGAACACTCACTAGTCAACATGACAGTCCTGGTGATTTCCTGAATAAGATATTAGAAGGCTGCTTATTAATGTTCGTGTCTCAGTTTTGTGAGGACCTGTGCTGCTAACAGTTGCACGTGGAGCAGTCTGACCACAAGTTTCTGACCTCCCAGTGTGGTATCAAAGTGCAGGAGATGCTTGTGCCTTTTAAATGAAGTGTGAATATTTTCAAGAGTTAATGTTTGATTGTTCGCGCAGTTTGTGTGTGTCTGTGTGCACTCAAGCCTAGTGTCGCTCTGGGGCAAACAGTGTGTCATTTTTCATTTACTTCTGCTAATTAAACCACCTCGTGATGCAATTCTGAGAACATTTTAAAGGCAGGAAAATCATCAAAAGGCAGTAATACACCCAGTCTTGTCCTTCAGTTATGATTCAAACACACACACACACACACACACACTTGCCCACCTGCCTACAGCCAGGACTGTGACCTCCACACAGTGACTGTGCCGCAGCTCTGCTTTGCGGGCCGACGGCTTCCTCATTAGCGGCCATTTCTTCTGGTTGCAGCGGGTGCAGATGTTCTTGTTGCCTCCCAGGCCCCCGATGGTGTGCAGGTGGTTACAGGTGTGCTTGGCTGCTCCCGGGGGCGCCCCCGGCGATACAGGTGTCATTGGAGGAGTGGGAGTGCCGGGGGAGGTGGGTGTGAGCGGAGGACTTGAAGATAAAGAAGGAGAAATGTGTGATCCTCGCAGCTCTTTCTTCAGATTGCCACTTTTTAAAAGCCTTCATGAATTAATTATACAATATTAATATTGTGAACTAAAATCTTTTATAGGTCAACAACTGTAAACATCCAAAATGTGAGGTAAGAGGAACAAACCCCAACACGAGCTAAAGACTTCAGTCCATTTTGCCCAGAGCATTTAAGCTCGCTGAATTCTGCAGTGCTTCCCTTATCGCAGCCCGCCGCTGCAGAAATGACACATCAATATTTCATACTTCAAAACAATTACTGACAAGCTCTTTGAGAACAATCACCCTCAGTGATTATCTTTAAAGAAAAATAGAAGCAGTTTTCTGCACAGAGTTCGGCTGCAGGTGAAGTTTCAGACACACCATAAGTAAACAATTAGATAAGCCCACAAATAGAAGCAACGCAGACACGAAGGGTGTCGCGTCACATGATGTTTGTCTCCAGCTTCCTCCTCTGAGAGTTTCTTCTTCATTCACTCCCCGTGTGTTCACACACCACTTTGCATTTAATCATTAGTTATTATTAATCTCTGGCTCTCTTCCACAGCGTGACTTTTGTCCTCCCTCCCCTCACACCCAGCCCGTCGCCTCAGATAGCTGCTCCTCCCTGAGCCTGGTTCTGCTAGAGGTTTTAAAAGTAGTTTAAAAGTGCTTAAAGGAGGCCATCTTTGTTTAGGTTTTTTTTTTCTAATACTGTGGAGTCTTTACCAGTGCTGGGTGCATAGGTAGCATTACTGTAACAAAGTTACATATTTGAGTAATGCAGTATTGTAATGCGTTATCTTACTAAATTCAGTAATTATGCTACAGTTAAAATTACTTGGTGACTGGTATTACAAAGATTATCCGTGCCTGGCAAATAGAAAAGAAAAAAAACGTGTACTTGCTACAATCAGCTGATTTCAGTTCGTGTGTGTCCAGGACAGGAACAGCTGCATTCTACTGCTTCAGCTCTTTGCAAGCCTCTGCACAGACAGCACGCTAACACTAAGCTAGCCAAGAACCCAGAGTGATGGTAAAGCCGAGCACATGCAGACCCCAGCCCAGCAGCCAGAGCCTGAACCTCAACAGGTAACAAAGGCAGTGATGAAGCTTAAAGCCTCAGCTTCTACCTCTTCATGTTTCTATAGTAGAATCAATCGTCATCTTTGCTTTGTGCTGATACCTGTGCTCAGTGCTCTGGTAGCTATGATAGGCTTCAGCCCCCCACGACCCTGATAAGGACAGCGGAAGAGAATAGATGGATGGATAAAAAAGAGTCTTTAGACGAGAGTTGTTATTGTTGATGTTGATATTGCACTATATAAATAAAATTAAATCGAATTTAATGAGCACTATGTACTTTTAAGCCTCAACAAATCTGGTTATTGGGACATTGAAAGCCTTTAATGCCTTTTAAAAATTATTCCAAGAAATGTGACAGCTCATAAACATATACAGCCACTGCAGATGCAGTCATTGGCCAATAATAGGGTACGAAATGTGATTTTGGTCCACCGGAAGAACAAAAGACATGATGTTGGAGATAAAGTGACGAGAACAGGGACTGCTGTAGAAAGATGATGAGAGGGACTAAAGGACGGTAGAGAGGTGGTGGAGGACTGATGGCAGGAGAACGGAAGTTAAGCACTGAATCTGGAGAGGCAGATAGCGAGCCCTGGCGACACTACAGTCAGTCACTCTCCTCCTTGAAGCCTTTTCTCCATCCCTCTCTCCTGCTTCCTCCCTCTCTCCTTCCCCAAGTATCCAATAAATTACCCCCACTGATATCCTTTCTTCCCCTCCTATTCTGCCATCTCTAAGTGATCCACTGGCAGGCTGCCCATCCTGGCTGAGAGAGCGCGAGAGAGAAAGACAGATGTGGGACATAACAGCAGGAGAAACTACCACAGAGAGCCATCTGAACAAAATGAAAAAGTGAAAGGCAAACTAGGGGTGGAAATATGTGAAGGAAAACATTTGGAGAGAGAACTGAAGAAGTGAGACACATGAAAGTGACGCTGGGGATTGTGTGTCGATTCAGATTTTTCTAGTTTTTTTCCCCTTTATGTATTAATACGTTTTTTACAGGACACTCGGTGTGACACAGCAGAATACCTCAGTACCTAATCCTTGGCAGATGCAACACGGCTACCATTTATCCACACTGTTTTCTCCCAACAAAAGAAAACACCTTTCCTCTCTTATCTCCTTTCCGCCCAGCACAATATGAAGCGGAGAGAGAAAGATGACAGCAGGAGAGAGAGAGATACAGAGAGGGGGGAAACATACTCCACTAACTCGATTTACTTAGACTCCTACTGTCACAAGCATCTCCTCCTCTAATCCATCTATCTGCCCAACTCCTTCTCCCCTTGTATTAGAGGCAAAGCACCACTACAGTTGTTAATGTACACTCCTCAGCTCATGGCTCTGTATGGACGGAGGTGGGACGGTGAGCGGTGTTTCCCCTGCACTGATTTTCTCTGTTTGAGGTATGATTGCTCCAAGGACTAAAGACATTAAGTTACAGGCTTGCATGCGACCTCACCAAAATAAGTCTGCTAGATTATAGAGGAGTATTAGGCCAAAGCCCATCATCCTGTGTTTGCTGGTTGGGGGAGTCCAGTTGTGACGCTATCAGCAGCTTTTATTGCACTTAAAGCTACACAACAAGCTCTTATGAACTCCCAGTAATGTCTTTACGTCACCTCCACGCTCCACCGTGTCATAGCTCTTTTACGGGTGGTGGGAGACACTCCATATGCATTCAGGCCATCAGGTTTTATACTACTGGGTGATCCTGGCCACAGGCAGCAAGCTAAAGCTGCTTTAGCGCATAGCTGCCCAGTTTTCACATGGTATACTAGACATGCCATTTAATCTCAAGAGCAGCTATTAGAAGTGATTTAATGTAATAATTCTTGTCACATACTGTATATAGTGTGATTTCTAGCAGACCAACAGCTTCGTGTTTTGTTAGCCGCAACACACGTTTAACATGGAGACCCGCTATTCAATGAATAATGATAATCTATGGGAGAAAAATTATGTAGCAGAAATATATCTTTTACCACCATCTACGTTGTGAAAGTGGGTGATGAATACACAACAGTATTCTTTCCACATTTACTGGTCAAAACATCTTACGAAAAACATTTTGAATGTTATTTGAGGCAGCTCAGATCAAATGGCTAAACAAGTTTTGACTGCCGATTCTTTAGATATAGCTTTTATGCTGTGGTGACCTTCAAAAGTAAAGTTAATTCAAATAGTCCAAAATGACCACCAAATAAGGAACTTCAGGTATTTCATAGCACTGCTAAGTGGCAAGACTCAAAGGACTTTGGCTTTAGCTAGCCAACCTAAGCTATCTTAAGCAAGTTAGCATTATGTTATGTAAGTTTCTTTATATTTTCAACTGACCCTAAAACAACTTAAAGGTTTTTAAAACGGGAACTAGATTTCTATATTTGCGACATCAAGCTAAAGCTAATACCAAACAAAAGTTTAAATCAGATTGGAGTTTGCTTGGCAGCCTGATTTACACACAAGGGGAACCACAAACAAAGGTAACATCACATTTCAGATTAGAATGGCCCTTTACTATCATTGTACATGTGCAACAAAATCTAATATTTATTCTATTCTATTTTCAAACTACTTTTTATAGAAAAGACATTTATGATGATGAGTTTAGTTGTCATAAAACTGTTTTAATAATGCTACATAATACACATTTTTAACTGTATAAATTACAAATACCCTTAACCAAACTAGAAAGTTATACAGCCAATATGCTAATAACTCAGCTTAACAGATTAGACACTATATATATATATATATATGAAAGACCTTCTAAGGTTTACTAACTTCAAAAGTTACTCTCACTTATTTTGTCAGTTAATTTAATTTAGTTCAATACCATTTTATTTATATAAAGTCAATTCACATAAATAAACACATCAAGATGCTTTGTATTGCTTAGTCAAGTCCCTTCGATACTAGAGAGAAAATCCCAACAATCCCTTTTGGTCAAGCACTTGGTGACAGTGGGGAAGAAGAACTTACCTTTAAGAGGAAGAAACTTCCAGCAGACCCAGGCTAAGAGAGAGGCAGCCATCTGCTAAGGCCAAGTTTTTGTTAACCAACAATTAACTGTGGATTTGATCTATAAATGTCTATAGTTCTATATTTGACCAGAAGTTCAAAGTCTACAGTGAACATTATTCTTCTAACAAGTGATAAGTGACTCGACTGACTAACCATCCAACGCTTCTGCTGTTCTTAAGCCTCCAGCATTTCTTATATTTTCACTCTGTTTAATTACTTGATTTTACAGCCAAGAATCTTATGAGGAAATATGTCAGCAGCTCCAGTTACTATGTTTTAATAATCCCACAATACAGTGAAGTGGCGCACAGTGGCTTTTTGTGAATGGTCCCCAGCTACGTGTCCCCAATCGGACCCTGCCAATGTGGATAGGATCAGGAGGAAACTGTGGCCTCATTGACTCTTGTCCTGCTCTGAATGCTTTCAGTTCAGACACACTCAGACACAGAGTCTCAAGGAGGCTTATGGTGCCACCTGGTGGTCAAGCCAGTTAGTACACGGAGTCTTTGCCCAATTAACAGACAGAAAGCCTTTTTAATAACAGATGGATTTGTTCTTCACAGCGTGAGATCACACTTACCCATCCGAATCAATGCTGTTTTCATGAATCATGGCATTTAGGGCATCAGAGTTTGCTAAAGAGGGAGAGAGAGAGAGAGAGAGAGAGAAAGTTACACGCTTATAAAGACGGGAAAAAAAGGGAGAGAGACGGGGGGAGATAAAAGTCGTGTTGGGAATTAGTGAGGAGTACGCTCCAGTGACTTCAAAAGCAGAGCGCTTATTGAAAGATGGCTCGAGCAGATTAACTCTTTAACACAGCGAAACGGCACATCACATGCAATCACTGAACACATAACAACTGTACACAGAAAACCTCGGCTGGGTGGGAGGAATCTGCCAGACCGTGAAAACTTTTGTCTGGAGCAAAGTTGCTTCAGAGTGTGACTCGGAAAAGTTTCAAACTTCCACATAACCGTCGAGAACGCAGCCTTCGGAAGTAAAGTTTGAAAAATTCTCACAGTGCGCACGATCAACAGCGCCCGACCTCTGCTTGCAGACAAAGTAGCTCAGGCATAGATGTACATAATTTGCTCCCAGAGACACATTTCCCCAAGGCCCGGCCTCGATGCAGTCACTGACTTCACTGACAGCCCGCTGTGTACACAGATAAAGAAATCTGTGCAGAGTTTGTGACAAATGAGCTGCACACACAGACAAACAAACACAGATGACTCATGTAGGTGGACGTAGGAGTTTCATGTTAAGATTTCACATCAGCATTCACAAACGTCTGCTTCAAACTTCCTCCTCGTGTCATGAAGGAAGCCTCGGTGAACGGATGTTAATTTTAGTGCATAAACATTATCTACTTGTTTTTGCCAGAAGGCGGCCCTAGCATGAGTAGTGGTCAGAAGAAAGAAAATAAAATGTTGGCCTATTGTTGGTTCATGCACAGCTCTCTTAATTTTAGTCCTTCCTTTTCTTTTTCAGTCATTCTGTTGTAGATTTGCTACTGTGGGATCATTGTGCATGACCAGTTTGAGCCAAGCTTTAGCTGTCAGACAGTATTTTGTCATTGTAATTTGGTATTCAGAGGAGTTCTTGGTCGACTCAGTGGCTGCCACGTGTCCGGGTCCTGTGGCTGCAAAACAAGCCCAAATCATCACCCCTGCTCCATCGTGCTTCACAGCTGGTATGAGGTGTTTGTGGTGATATGGTCGATTTGGTTTCCTCCAAACATAGCGCTAGCTAGGTCTTGTGGTTTGTTAAGATGCAACTTTACAAAAGTTAAACATTGTTGTCATGTGCTTTTTAGAAAGAAGAGGGTTTCCCCTGGCAACCTTATTCAGTTTTTCTATTGTAACTAATTGTAATTGTGTTGTCATGAACTTTAACATTTAACATGCCAACTGAGGCCTGTAGAGTCTCAGATACAGCTTCTGGGTTTTTGTTTCTCTGAGGGTATGACCTCAGAGTGAATTTACCGGGTCGCCCACACCCGGGATCACTGACAGCTGAATGTTTTCCATTTGTTAATCATCTTTGATGGATATCAAATTGTTTGGAAATGCCCTCATAACCCTTCTCAGATGGATGGACAGGAACAGTTGCTTCTTTAAAATCGTCATCCTTCCTCCTTGCTACTGTGCTAACAAATAGTCAAACACACCTGATGTGCTCCAGAGCAGCAAACTATCAAAACCTCTGCTTTTATAGAGGTGCTCACACTTGCTGATGATAAATTAATCATGTGTATTTGACTAGCAGCAGTTGGCTAACCTCTAAACTCGTGGAAGTAGTGAACTGTGTACTGCTCCTGAATTTTAGCTTAATTTTTGCTAACTAAATAATGACACCCACTCTGGAAACCAAGTGAAACTAACCTGGAAAAAGGGGTCACTATGTCATCACTTTAGAAACGGATAATGTTCCTTTACGTCTTTTACAAAGTAAACTATTGGATGAAAAAGGATAATTTTGAGGAAATTATCCTTGTAGATGTTATTGTAACCCTTTACAAAACATTCCCTGAAGATCATTTTGAAGATTTCAACTTCAAGGCAACTTTCCCTGAAAGACTTTCTGAAATATTCCTAAAACATAATCTTGAGGTTAAAAACATGCAGTTATGTGCCTAAATGTGAGGTATGTGACACTGCTGAAGCAAACTGCAGTAAACATTTTAGCAACTCTTTAGCTTTCAAACTCTCAAACATCTTCTTCTCTTCTTTACTTGTCTTAATAGTGTAGCTGAGTGGTTCTTAAACTGTTGAGTGGGACCCACTACTGGGCGTGGAAAACCAGGTGGAAAATATAAAGTGAAATTAACTTCAAATAATGAAGAACTTTACTTTTAAATGATATCTGACCAACAATACCAATAATAATGAGTAAAGTTTTTCCACACTATACATGTTCAAGTACTTCCCACTGGTTGCAAACATGGTAGTGACTTTTCCTTTGTTTGATCAGTAGAGGGCAGTGTTTTCCTTCGTCTGATCAGCCATCAGAGCGGTGCATGCTATAGCATTCAATTCCTCCTCTCTTTATTTAGACTGAAACGGCTGTTGCTGCAAAAATGTTGAGTGGACACAATAACTTCCTGTTTTCATTAGAGAGAGGAAAAAAAACAGCTACAGAGATTTATTTTTTAAATCTTAACCATCGGCCAAGTTTCCATCAGTTGAGCAATGTTGAAGGGTGAGAGAAGGTGTAGTAAAACAGATATTTATAAAAAAGAGAGCACGATGACGTGCTGACTCTACAGCAGACTGACAGCGTGTAGGCGAGTCACGATAATCAGAATCCTACGAGCATGACTACTTCATAAAACAGCCGTGAATCAGCCCAGAGCAAACGTACAGCTCAGGACAATGATGGCCAGTCACCACCATGGGACGATACAGCCTTTGTGTATCACAGGATTGGGTCAAAGTGCAATATTGAATTACACTTAAAGAATCAACAGTGACATGGCACATTTTCAAATCTTATATGATATAACTTCTTATAGATGGGTGCTATACGGCAAGGGTCCCCAACCTTTTTTGCACCACGGACCGGTTTAATGTCAGACAATATTTTCACAGGCCTTTAAGGTGTCGCGGATAAATACAGCAAAATAAAATGATACGACCAAGACAAAAACTGTGGTATTTTGTAAATATAATAATAAACGTCATTTCACTGTGTAATTGTGTAACTTTATGAGCAGCGTCCTCCTGAAAATGCGCCAACAACATTGAGAGTAACATCCTCCTCTCCGCCCCTTAATGCTCTCTGGTCGCTATGGTAACGTGTAAATATTTCTTTAAAATAAGACACACAACTACAATTCTGGAGAAGACCCAGGGAAACCGAGTTAACAATAAAACCCTGAAAACCACAAATTTCACGCCTCGACTCTTGAGACTCACGGACTGGTACCGGTCCGTGGCCCGGGGATTGCTGCTATACGGTATTTATAAATTCTCTATACAGAGCTTACATTTAGCAAACAACCTGTCATAAAACCAATAAAACAGAAATATTTTACAAGCCTGTCAAAAACTTCTTTCAAACAAAAAAAATCATATTACAGTGGAACCCCGACTTACGAAATTAATTCGTTCCCGAGGGTCTTTCGTAAGTCGAAGCACCCATAGCGCGTTTTGACTGAGGCGATGCTGAACGATAGGCTACAGGCTAATCGCTAACTACAACAACAATACGTTGTTCAAGTGGATGGTTGTCACCAGTGTTGGTCAAGTTACTTGAAAAAAGTAATCAGTAATTAATTACTGATTACTTCCCCAAAAAAGTAATCCCGTTACTTTACTGATTACTTATTTTCAAAAGTAATTAATTACTTAGTTACTTAGTTACTTAGTTACTTTTTAAAAACAT